ACAAAAATCAACACCACTGCATGTCACAAAGCCTAAAAAAACTGCTCTTCAAACATGTTCAACAACATCTCCAAAATAGAAATATGCCATTGCACAACACATGTCGTATCTCAAACCCAAAACCCCCAAAATTTAAAATAAAAATCAAAACCCAAGCACAATCAGCTTTTGAAAACTGAAACACGGCCATGCATACTTCCAAAAATCAATCTTGAACAACCTTTAGTAAAATACACGCACTGATAAATACCTGAACCTTCTCCATTCGCCTAATCAGCGGAATATCATCCAAAGCATCCTCCGCTGACAATGCTTATCCTCCAATGTTCACAGCTTCTTCAATCGCCATTGCAATTCTCGCACTGCGTCTTCTCACCGGATGAGATCTATCAGGGTTCGCAAGCTCTGTAGTCTTCATGTTATTTAGTTTATAAATCTGGCAATGAGAAACAGCCGCCTGAATCTTCGACCACAATTATCGGGAAGCATCCAACAAACAATGATAGCGAACAAGACGCCTGAATAGCCGTCCTCAAGAATCGGGAAATACTCACTGCCAGGATCAAATCATGTAGCCACCAACTTTAATACCTCAGGGACAAAACCGGAAATTAACATCTTAAACAGTACTAGTGCTAAATAAGTATGTAATCCTATACAGTAGTGCCATTTCAGTGCTTAACCCTTACTTATACACAAGTTTCTTATACCAGTTCGTTTGGAGTACCTATGGTGTCCCGTTTGTAAAAATGATGGTTCCTATCTCCTAATCCCCCCTAAACCCCCCACCCGAGCCCCACCCTTGCCCACCCACCCCACCCCCTCCCACCCCTCTCCCTACCCTGGCAGTATACTGCCTGGCAGTGATCGGTGTGAGATTGAATTTACATTTCTGTCAATTCCTTTATAAGGAAAAAGAAACACCGTTCACAGCATTTATCTCCACAAACAATTTAATTGCCAGCAGAAATTACAACTTTTTTAACATTTTTTTTCTTAAAATTATCGAAGGTGACCCTGAGATTAGAACCAATGTTCAAACGGGCAGTGACGTTCGTGGAGGAGGATGACGCCGACTTGGGGGAGGAAATAATCGCGTTTGGGTCCCAACACGAATTCGGAGACATGACTTGGTTTCCAAGCCAGAGAAGAGTCGTGAAACGCATTGATGATCGGGTCAAGACAAACGCGTCCTCCAATGGTCTCAATAATTTCTTAGGATTTCGATCTGCTCCTTCACTTGTGTCAAGCCTGGTGAGAATTGCAGGTAATTATCACTTATCTTAGTCTTTTTTTGTTTCTTTTGAAGTTGCACACTTGCACTTATCCCAGTATAAATTTAACTTATTGAGAAGAAACAGAGATATGATATGATCGGCAAACACATACTTACTCTCATCAATTGTGAGAATGCTTCTTTGGGTGTGGTGTTACCTTGTTTATTAAAATGCCACTTAAGCAAAATTTGGTACTAAAATGAGTTTACTCCAAGCATGTACCATACATCCTTATGTGTGTGTTTGTGTAGAGGAAAATATGGAAGCACTCAATCATGGGAATGGGAAGTGCATACTTGCAAATATTTCTACCTTCATCTTAAAAGTTGCCACATATGGATTTTCCAACAACGGTAATATTCTATAAATTTAACTATGTAAAGAACTTATTTGTACTCCCTCCGTCCCAAAAAGTTTGTTACGTTTAAAAAAAACTGCTTTCCGTAAAGTCTGTTACATTTCTATTAAAAAACCACTTTTACCTCTTACTTTTTCATATCCTACCTATCACATCATACCTTTTTCCTAATAATCTATCCATCACATCTTACTTTTACCCATCACATCAAGGGTATTTTTGGAAAGTCAATACCAAAATATCCCTCCCTTAATTTTCCAAAAAGTCAAACCGTCTCATTCTTTTTGGGACGGAGGGAGTATATTATTATATATCATTAACCATATCTTCATTGTCTTTTCATACGTAAAAATAAGTATGTGTCATCTTTACTGGGTACCCTATAATTGGATTTCAAAATTGACTTTAATCAGCGGGCACTTGTTTAGACGGCTTAAATGATGGATTACTAACAGCTTGCCCATGGGACCCCAAAATCATGGGATTGTTCTTTCACCAAACAACATTCAGCATTAATCTATCCAAAGTGAAAGATTTTGTACAAGAGGTGCAACAATTAGTGAATTTAGACCAAAAAGCATTGTGCGGGTTAGGATTGTACAATGGCATACTCGTCAGATATGTCACTTCCTCAAGTGCGTATTTAGGCAAACAATACGATGCGGTAGACTTCGACATTACCTACTACCGAAGAAAAGACCCAATGGCTCCTAGGCTTTATCAAGACTTCATAGAAGAAATCGAACAACTTGCAATTTTCAAATACGGGGCCTTGCCACATTGGGGTAAGAACAGAAATGTGGCTTTCCTAGGGGCAAAAAACAAGTATGTGAAGTTTGATGAGTTCTTGAAAGTTAAGGAAAGGTATGATCCTAAAGCATTGTTCTCGAGCGATTGGACGAACCAAGTTTTGGGTCTGAAAGAAGGGTTGGAGATTACAAAGGACAATTGTGCTTTGGAAGGGTTGTGTATTTGCTCACAAGATTCTCATTGTGCTCCAAGCAAAGGGTATTTTTGTCGACCAGGAAAACTGTATAGTGATGCTAGAGTTTGTGCTAAGACAAGTACTACTTTATGATCACACGTATTAAAAATTTACTAATCGAGTATAACAGTCTTTTTCATAATTTACTCATGTTGTCATTCATAAAACAAATTATCTAACATCAATTATTTGGAACAATAGAGATAATAGGAACTATATTAATATTATTATTAGAGGAATTTACTTAAATAGCACTAAAACATATTGACTTTCTCTAAATAGCACCACATAGGTTTCTTATGTTTCTCTATTGAGTTTCAAATATTTCTTATGTTTTTCTTTATTATTAATATTATTATTATTATTATTATTATTCTTGTTGTTGTGATTGTTTACTTTTCTTATTTTGTTGTTACATTAATTGTTACGGAGTATTTTACTATAATTACGATTCCCTTTGTATTCTTTATATACTAATTTTTCTAACCCATATCGATCACGTACGGTGCAGAACGAAACTTTTGTTCATTTTCAAAAAAAAATCAAATTTTAAGATTATGTTCTTTTGAATTTTACTCTGCAATTCTTATGCGGTCCGATTTTTAATCATCCTATTCTTAAAAGCAGGGGAATTCTGCCCCAACCTTTTCCCTCCCAAAGCATTAAGATTTTGCACCTTTGATTTCAATCGATCTACGGTTATTCTTCATTTTAATATAGTACCAATTTAATATATTGTATTTAAGGTAATTGCAATTAACACACACGTATTGGAATTAATGTGGTGTACAATTTCATCCTGAACATATATTGTATTTAAGGTAATCGGGAATAAAATACGATGTAATTCAGGCAATTATTACCTTAATTAAGGAAATATATTAATGCATTCTTTTAAACGAGACATCATTAATTCAAAAAAAATAAAATTAAGCTAAAAAATAATGGTTTTATAACTAGCGTAATTTTTAAACATTATAAAAAAGGAAATATATTAGTGCATGCTTTTAAAATGAGACATTATTAATTTTAAAAAAATTAACTGACTAAAAAATACTCCCTCCGTCCCAGAGTATTTGTCCACTTTCATTTTTGCACATCATTCAATGCATTTTTTTAATCCATTTTATCTTGTAATTTGTATATTAAAAAATTATAGAAATTATATATTAATAATCTATATGTTAAGACAAATCAAACAAGATCACACATGGCTATATTTAGGCTTACACAATGAGAAAATTTGATGAGTCAAAGTACTTAGATGAACAGTTCCAAAAGTCAAAAGTGGACAAATATAGCGGGACGGAGGTAGAAATGGTTTTAGAAACATGCGTAATTTTTAGCCCCGATTTAATATATTGTATTTAAGGTAATCGCAATTAACACACACGTATTGGAATTAATGTCGTGTACAATTTCATCATGAATTATTATATTGTATTTAAGGTAATTGGGAATAAAATATGATGTAATTCAGGCAATTATTACCTTAATTAAGGAAATATATTAATGCATGCTTTTAAACGAGACATCATCTATACTTTATTTAAAAAGAGGTGAATTTTTTGACCAGTTTTTCCGCCCATGCATGTGTTGACTTTTTATTATATATGGAGAGGTTTATATATATTTTAGGGAAGAATATAATTTTTTTATGGAATTTAATAAATAAATATAAACATAAATATTATTATTAATCACTAGCAAATTTCTAGGGGCGGTCTAGATTTATTTTTGGAAATTGTTTTATATATGGGCTTTAATAAATAAATATAAATATTTTCTATATATTAATCATTTTCAAAGTTTCTAGGGGTTGGTCTAGATTTATTTTAGGAAACCTTTTTATATATGGGCTTTAATAAAGACGTGTTAAAACTTTTTATTATATATGGAGAGGTCTAGACTTATTTTTGGAAAATTTGTTATATGTGGAATTTATAATTTAATTAATAAATAAATATAAATATTATTATTAATTGCGGTCGAAATTTATAGGCGTGCATCTACATATATTTTAGAAAAGTTTATTATATATGGGCTTTAATAAATAAATATAAATATTTTTATTAGTCAAGGTCAAGGTTTCTAGGGATGGTTAGATTTATTTTAGAAAAAGTTGTTATATATGAATTTTAATAAATAAATTAATAAATATAAATATTTTTATCAATCACGGTCAAAGGTTCTATGAGAGAAATGCATTATATTATTTGTATTTTTTTCATCATAGATATGCTTTTTATTATATATGAAGAGGTCTAGATTTATCTTAGGAAAATTTGTTATATATAGATTTTTTCTAATATAAAGAGCCTATTATATATTGAGATTAAAACCATCATCATTTAATTGCAGCGTGTAGTCTAAATTTATTTTAGGAAAAATTTGTTAGATGTGGACTTTAATAAATAAATAAATATAAATATTTTTATTTATAATGATCAAAGGTTTTAGCTGTCGTCTAGATTTATTTTAAGAAAATTTGTTATATATAGACTTTTATAATTAAATAAATATAAATACTTTTATTAATCACGGTCAAAGTTTCTAGGGATGGTCTAGATTTATTATAGGAAAATTTGTTATATATGAATTTTAATTAATAAATAAATATAAATATTTTTATTAGTCACGGTCAAGGATTCTAGAAGGGAAATGAATAATATTATTTGTATTTTTATTTTTCATTATATATATGCTTTTTATTATATATTGAGAGGTCTAGATTTATCTTAGAAAAATTTGTTATATATGAACTTTTTATTATATAATGAACTTATTATGGGGGTGTTTCGTTGTGCAGGTGCTTATTCGCTTTTTTCTCAAACTTTTACCTCCACTGTCTTTTTTTCTTTCAAAAATGACATCCTTATCTCACTTTGAGGCGTCTTTTATTTAGTATATATTTTTATAAATAGTTTAGTAAATAGCCTTGCAATAGGGTTTATTTTTGGAAAATATTCAGAAATAAATATTCAACATAGTTAATTTTAATATAAATGTAAATAAATCAACGAGTAAAAATTAATTATTAGGATAAAAATATCATCTAAAAATGGCAAGAAGTAAATATTCAACATAGTATATTATAATATAAATTTTAGTATAAATGGAAATAAATCAACGGATGAAATATATATTTTATTATAAAAACACTCATCTAAAAATGGCAAGAAATAAATATTCATTATAGTATATTTTAGTACATATTTTTAAATGAAAATAAATCAATTGATGAAATAAACTAGAATGAAAAATTAAAAAAATACTTATCTATAAATGGTAAGAATTCAAATAGTCTTGAATAATGATTGTTTTGTAGGGACAAACAAAATAAAATTTAATAATGGGAAATATCTCATCCATTTAAAAATTTAAACTCATTCAAAAGATGTTCAATAAGTAAAAAAAATAAGTTTCACTTTTATTATGAGATTGTAAAATAAATGTAATTTTTATCAATATTAGTATTACATATTCCATTGTGATAGAGATAAAATTTTCATATTCAATCCTTTACTGAACTTTATATTCTATTATATATTAATGTATATTCTTCAATAATTATCCAAATATAATTTAGTAATATAAATGGAGCCGTGCAACGCACGGGTGTAATGCTAGTTATAACTATAATCCAAAAAAATATTTTTCTCTTCAATTTCTTTTCTCTTGGACACCAGATTTGAACATATGCCTCGAGGGAGCTCGATTTCAAGATTTGACATATGGACCTAGTCACAGCCCCCCCCCCCCCCTCCCTCCCAATTAAAGTAGGGATATTCTTGAAAGTTTGATACTTTTTTTCTACTGCTAAACAAGCATACCATTTAAGTCCACGTGAGAAAAATATTTCAAGATAGAAGAAGTATAAATTTTAAAATTACTCCGTATTTATTTACTTAATCATAAATTATGTGTAGTAATTCACAATATTGACTTGAAATTTAAAATTATTTATGCTTTTTTACATTGTCTTTAAACAAAATATATGGCATCGCCCCTGTATCCAAGCCCTTATTATTCATTCCCCCAGTCCTCACATTTTCTAGATTCGTCGCTGTATCGTGTTTAATTTGAAAAAGTCAAACTGGACGGATGAAGTAGTTGCTTATTCCGTTTGTATTATTATAAGGAAGTGTATATTTTACATTTTTTTATTTTCGAAAAAAATCTAAGGCATATGTTTTTTATTATGATCAAATTCAAATTACTAATTTTTTTATTTTAAAATTATTTGTTTCAAATTTCGTAAAGTCAAAATAATATTCCAATTAGTTATTTTTTTATTCTACAATTACAAGTATTTGTATTTAAAGTTTTGTAATGTCAAATAAGAAGTTCTTCCTCGTTTCTTAAAACATTTCTTTTTTCATTTTTTTTGTTTTCCCCAAAGCTAAGTACTTTGACTTTCTATTTAAAAAACTATTTTCTGTTTAAAAATCACACCTTATTTTTACTCATCACATCAATAGAAAAAGTCAACCATAAATATACACTTTTTATTTCTTTTAAAAAATAAAATAGGAACTGTTTTATGAAACAAAGAGAGTAAAATTAAAATTGAAAAGGATACCTTAATTAATTTAGGGCTTACTTTCAACTACTGGGCCGACGAACAAAATAAACCTAGCCGAACCTGCACCATATGGTGGATTTCACTAATGATTCTTCACTAATTTTCTTCCATAAATATACCCCTGAATGATTTAGTATTTGATTCGCTGCCGATCAGCCGCCGTGCGTGGTGGGGGTGGGACGATCTTCTCCGTCACCGAACTTCTCCTATATATATATATATATCGATGCACATATATACATCCATTTGTATATTAAGGCTCCATCATTTACTCGTTTGTACAGATCAGGTAAACAAATCCCATTTCTATTTGAAATATATGTGTGTATATTTTTTTTTGAAACTAAAGGGTGTAAACAATAAACATATCCCGTTTTTACATACATTTTGAAATGTGTAGATTTTATCACATTTTTTATGGATTTACGAGTAGATTTTTTTGTTTTACCAAAAGCCAAACTCTTTTATTGTGTTTATATACTAGGATCAATTTAATGATGAGTAATGCTAAAGTCACAAACAAACAGTTCACAAAACATATAATTCTGGTCCTTTAGTCAATGTTGTTGGAATTCCTCCAAGTCCCACACCGGAGGGAGAAGAAAAAATGGACTAAAATATATAAGTTCACCCAAACTCAAGGGCTTTTGGGAGGTGCCCAAAAACAAACCCGTGAAGGCTTGACCCAAAACCAAAACGGATAATATCATACTAATGCGCGGGAGTGGGGTGAGGGCACGCGTAGTCCCAACACATGCTAAGGATCAGTTAGGTCTACCATTATAGTGCATCTCTCTCATCCATATCATTTTCACATTAGACTTCGCTAATTTCATACTTTTCATACAAGTGGTGGTGTATATACGCGGATTTGTCAACTTACTACACAAACACTTTTAATAAATTAACTTGAACTAAGAATAAAAGTTAATTTTAAAATCATTTTTAAAAAGCGTAAGTATATCTTAAAATCCTCCAAAAAGAGAAAATTTTGATATCTCCAAAATGTCAGAGATATCAATCCCCTCTTCCACAAACAATCCCTGTCAGGCTGTCACCAGCATCCACCATCATGGTTCACTTGTCCCTAATCACGTAATTATCAATTACACAAGTCTATTACTAACAACAATCATTTCAAATATCTCTAAATGCTTTCATTTTAGACTTAAGAATCCATATCTTTTTTTCTAACTTTCAGATCTCGTATTAATTATCCAAAATTTACCAAACAACCCTTAAATTTTTTTATGTAATTATTTAAACTCATCATTGAAGTATAAAATTTCTCAGTCTTGATTCTTTATTTATTTCCATACTATCAAATAATTTTTTTAATGCGTTGTTTATTTAGATTAGGCTCTGGTCTTGTTTTGTTGGGCCCGGAACAAAGTGTTCTAAATCCATGAATATTTTAGGCCCCAATCTCGGACGATTTAGTAGAATGTACTCCGTAGTTTACATTATACTCATAAAGCAAATTGTTCATCTAGGCCAAAGTCGAGTCCAAACTGGACACCTTATTTCACGTTCCACAAAATCTTTCTCCTTTCTTTTTTTATCTATCCTAAAAAACATTTCTCATTTCTATAAAAAATTTATTTTTACCACTACTAATTTTTAACTTACTTATCACCTTATACTTTTTCATTACTAATCTATCTATCACATCTAATTTTGGAGCTTAATCATAGCCTATTAAAGGACATCTTTTGTAGTTTGATAAGGCACTTCAGAGAAAATTCTTATAAATATATTCAATTCTTTTCACGATTTTGTTTCGTATCATAAACGACATATACCAGAAGAACAGAATTCCATAGAGGATAGAGTTGATTAACCTAGTCCTCCTCGCATACGATAGATGTTTGATTACCCTTAGAAGTGATTTTCGTAGTGGGTTCTCTACCATTTTATTGGCTAATCCTATATTCATTGTCAGGAAGACTCTCGACACAAGATATTAATCGTAGGTCCCCAATCTACTAGGTTACATGATTTGACTAGCCAAAACATTATACACTACTGTTATCACATAAACTTTTCAAGCAATGCTTATTAACTCTTGTCCGCTTCGAACCGGTTCATTAATACCACATGTTGGTATCAGGGTATCTCACCCCCAACTCTATATTAGTACGATATTATCCATTTTTGAATTTGTGTTTGGACAGTTCTAAAAACCTCTTACTTAGGCAATCCCCTGTGGGTTTGACCCCGGGCTGTGTCCCCTACTTCACGCACGCCTCACGCTGCCTCCACCGTTCGGCCATTCCTTTGATTGGGTTGTCCCTATGTTGGGTGATAGCCATCACGACCATTATGAACTTCTTTGTTTTTTTCAACCAATCAAAATAATTTACATTTTCATCACCTCATCACTTTTTTGTCATCACCCCATCGTGCCCGCCCCTACACATGGCCTTATAGAGTTAGTTTGAACCTTTTTCTTTTAGTTAAGTTTTTGTTTCTCTACACGTGTGGAATGAGGTTTGTTCCCTTACACCTTCTTGGTAGTTTTGGAAATAAATTTCATGTTTATTGTTTCCTTTTAAGAAAGAAGAAAAAAATACAATATTATCCATCTTTTTTATTATATACTTGTAGATTCCAGTCAAACAAAGATATTATATAGAGGAGATTACTTTAATTTGTCCAAATTGGAACTCTTCTTATAAAGTTGTCCCTTGATTCCAGAATTTATTTATATCTGATTCTGAAACTCGTTTGAAGAAGATGAGATGATGTCTTTAATGGAGAGCAAAGTTGTGGAGCCTTTGAAGAATGCATATGAAGACCTTGTTCGTGCGGCGACGGAGGTGCTAGAGGCCAAGCTGCAGAGCAGTTGCCGCGGGAAAGAGACTGCCGCCGCCGCCGCAGAAGTGAGGGCTGCGTTAGAGAAGTTCAAGGAGCGCTGGGACTCCTTCCACCGCCTCTGCGACGGAGCCACGGAGTTCATGGAGCACCTCAAAAGTGGCTTGGGGTTAAGTGGCACTGGTGGTAGCACCGGCTCCGCCGCCTTTCTGAGCGTCTGCGACGACGTTGAGGTTGCTCCTGAACTGATAACAGAAAGAATTGATGAGGAAAATGCTGCTCCTAGCTAGTTACTGCATGGTGATTCTTGTTGGAAAGTACGTGAAGCAAGTGAAACTAACATTTTGATATTGATGTGGTTATGCTATGCACTTTTGTAATGGCCATTTTTTGAGCCAATATAATGGGATGCAATAATGGCTTGAATCGTTACGAAAAGGGATAATTTTATAGATAGTTTGATGAACATTTTCATGTCTTATACTCCCACCGTCCCGGACGGGATGTTTTGTTTTTTGAAGAGATTTAAAGGAAGTGTATTTTGGTATTGAATTTCCAAAAATATTCTTTGATGTGATGAATAAAAGTAGGATTTGATGGATAGATTATTAATAAAAAGGTATGATGTGATAGGTAGGGTATGAAAAAGTAAGGAGTAAAAGTGACTTTTTAATAGAAATAAAAAGTGTTTTTTGGGACGGATAAAAAAAGAAAGAAGAAAGATTTTGAGGGACGGAGGGAGTACATACCAAATGGTTATACAGAGGGATGAGAAAATAATGCTCAAATAACTTTTTTTAATATGCATGTGTAGTGATCATTTCATAAATTAAACTAGACACAGTTACTACATGTTTTGTATAGCTTTTGATATATTCTGTAGTTTTTAAATATTTTAGTTATACTTCATCCGCCCTTAAAAATCATTCTCCTTTCTTTATTTTTGTGTCTTACAAAATCTTTCTCCTTTTTGTTAAAAAATTACTTTTATCCATACTAACTCTTTTCCTACCTATCATATTGTATTGTTTACTAATAACATTAGACTTTTACTCATCACATCAAGGATATTTTTGAAAACTCAATACAAAATATTCTTCTCTTAAATTCTTTAAAAACCAAAAAATGAGAACAACTTTAAAAGATGGAGAAAGTATTTTTATTCTTGTATATCGATTTGCAAATAAAATAATTTTAAAAAAGATGAATCAGCGAGAATGGCGTGAGGATGAAGACACACCAACCCCTCAGTGTAACCGGGGTGTGAGGAGCATCGTGAGCTTTGTTGTCAAGTCGTGTCCGGTCGTTTTGGTGGTGGCGACTAGATTTTTGCCAAGTGATCGACTTGGGTGGACTACTTGCCTGGTCATGTAAAGCGACAACTGCTCCCTGATGGAAACCCTGTCCTTCCCGACTTCTCTCTCTCTCTCTCATACCAAAACGCATCTTCCAAGATCAAATCGATCAATTCTTCTGGAATCGATTCTTCTTCTTCTTCCTCCATGGGTAATATCTCGTTATCTTTAACTTTTTTTGTGCTTGCTATCTTTGTTGGAACTTGGTGTGTTGTTTTTGAAGAGGGTATTGATTCTTATGTACCGTGACTTTATGTGCCACCTTTAAACATAATTTTGTTATTGTAAATATATTTTGTCATCTCTCACACACACCAAAGAGTGAAAATCTGATAAATAAAAAGATCGGGGTGAAAATATTTTTACGTGAAAATCCAAATTGAGAGAAAACCACGAACTTTTTTAGATGATGAGCTCTCGAAAAGAAGATGCAACTTGTTGGTATGAGTTAGTATCAATTATTTTGAGCCTTTTCTTTCCCCAATCAATCTATTTTCAAATTGAGGTTTTTATCCATAAAAAGATTATGATAAGTGTTTAATGTCCTTGGAGAAGACATGTTAAATACAAAATGAGGATTTTCCTAAAAATGAAAAAAAAAAGATTATTGATGACTACTTTGGCCGCCCTCAAAAGTTGAGAAATACTCCCTCGGTCCCAAAAAGATTTACACGTTTTAAAAAAATTGTGTCTCACAATCTCCTACCCATTTCTATTAAAAAACCACTTTTACCCCTTACTTTTTCAAACCCTACCTATCACATCATACCTTTTTTCTAATAATCTATACATCACATCCTACTTTTACCCATCACATTAAGGGTATTTTTGGAAAGTCAACACAAAATTATCCGTCCCTTAATTTTAACTTTAGTCAAAATGGGTAACACTTTATGGGACGGAGGGAGTATTAATTGCTTAATCAATTTACGAAGACATAGACGAAAAAGGCACTTGATCGTCGCCCAAAACAAATTATCGAGAACAATGGTTTGACAATCTAGAGCAAAGTTTGTACCGAGAACGAAGAAGAAGATAGATGTTGTCGGGTGGTGGTGGTGGTGACTGATGAGAACGTCATGATGTGCGGTCAAGATATCCCTCCTTTATTAGTCCTTTTTTATAAAAATGAAAGTATTTTGGGGAAAATGAAAAAAATGAAATAGGAACTGTTTAAAATGAATGAGGGAGTATATATATAATTAATTATTTAATTGAATTTTTCTCAAATTAAAGTAGCATTAAAACTTAACACTTTTTCCCTAAATGGCACCGAACAAGCTAAGGGTTTTCAAAACTAGCATTAAATTAATTAATAATTTATAAAATTAATTGTTAATAATATACATTTACTAACACATTCTTGTATCTTAATTATTTTGTACTCTATATAAAATATAGACTACATTTTTTCTCCCTTGGTCGATTCCCTCTTTGCTTGATTCATCTACTTGTTTTTTCTTTTTGATGGACATTGTAAAAATTATTGATATTTTTCACTGATCCTGGACATTGTAAAAATATGGACGTGGAACATTGTAATAATTATGGAGTTGGGACATTGCAAATATTATAGACATTGTTTACTAATAAGAAACATTGAAGACTAATATCGTGGACATTTATAATTGCGATAATATCTTTTTTTTAACCGACAATGGACATGTAGACAATAAAAACAATATTAGATATTATTAGAGTAAAACCACGAAAGTCATTAAATCATGCATAATGGACATTAATGGAGTGGTGGCAGGACACTAATGTCGGTGAAAGTCATTAAATCATGCATAATGGACATTAATGGAGTGGTGGCAGGACACTAATGTCAGCATGTTGTGATCGACAGTCGGCAAAGGACACTAAATAAAAATGAAAAAAGAGTAAATTCTATAATTAGTCCTTTATAACAGGGGGGTTTCCCTATTTAGTAATCTATTATCAAATATTACCCCAATGGTCTTTCTTTTATGGGTATCTTTCCACAAATAATCCTTTTTTTGATCTTCTATCATGTTGGTGTTAATTTGAGGGCTAAAACTGTAATTTCACAATGATAATATATACTTTTTGTCATACATAATTCCAAAGGCTGTTCCGTTTGCGTCGTTTGTGAATTACAGTCGCTTTCTACTACAACCATAGTCTACAAATGTGATCTTTCGTCAGAATCCTAGCCCACAATCGTAGTCATTATTTTTGTGTTATCCGCTTAACCAATATCAGAACATGTCACTAGACATAATGTTAATGTAAATTATACTTTTAGCCTTTAAATTAACACCAACACGGTAGAAGATAAAAAAAGGACCATTTGTGGAAAGGTACCCTTAAAAAATGGACTACGGGGGTAATATTTGATAATAGAGGACTAAATATGGAAACCCTCCTGTTATAAAGGACCAATTATAAAATTTACTCAATGAAAAATTTACCTAAATAACACTAAAACATAATGACTTACCCTAAATAACATCACATGTGTTTTTTTCAATGTAGCACTTTTAGTCATTATTCAAGTAAATGTTTGTCATCACTGAACATTATACATATGATTAAGTGCTATTTGTGGAATAAAATAGTTTAAATGCTATTTAGGGAAATGACTTAAGTTTTAGTGTTATTTAGTGTAAATATTCCATATAAAATTATATAACGGGCACTTTAGTACACTAGAATTAATGATTAATTATTAATTAATTAATTAGATATTATAGATAATTAAAACTTGTCGTGCTATATAACCAAATTTCTCATGAATATATGGGGGTAAAATAGTACGAATTAAATACGAGTAGATACTACTACCTCCGTCCCGTGAAACATTTCTCCTTTCTTTTTTTATCCGTCCCACAAAACACTTCTCATTTCTATTAAAAAGTCACTTTTACCCCTTACTTTTTCATACTCTAACTATCACATCATACTTTTTACTAATAATCTATCCATCAAATCATACTTTTACCCATCACATCAAAGGACATTTTTGGAAATTCAATACCAAAATACACTCCCTTAAATCCCTCCTAAAAAGCAAATGTCCCATGTTTCACGGGACGGAGGTAGTAGTATACTACAATCAATTAATAACTAACTAATTAATTAGATATTATTTTTGTTAAAAACACAATAGGTCATATTCAAAAAAATAAGGCATGCATGACTTAGGCCCCGTTCCGTTCAACTTATTTTTTCTTATTTTTTCTTATTCTTATTAAAATCAGATCAGACCAGACCAGACCAGATCAGATCAGATCAGACCAGATCTGATCAGATCAGATCCAATCCAATCAAATCAGATCAGATCAGATCAGATCAGATCGAATCAGATCAGATCAGATCCAATTAGATTAGATCACATGAGATCAGGACTTAAAATCAGATCCCATCAAGAATTATTATTATTATTATTATTATTATTATTATTATTATTATTATTATGTATAATTTCGTACTTTTATTTCCATAGTTTGATTTTTGTCGTGTGGTTCAAAGTGCGGGGCTTATCGTTTCTCTCTCATAAATGATTATTTTTTTTGAAGCAATCTCTCATAAATGATTATAAATGTTCTGTTGTACTTTTTTTTCTTTAATCCATGCATGTGTTCATTTGATGAATTATTGGGCAGAATTGATGAATGTAAGCTAAGGTGTCTTTACTCTTACGTACTACATACGGAAAAGGGAACACACTGAATTCATTATTTCTGTTACAAAACTAAAGAAAAATGCTAAGGGGTATACCAAAAGTGTACTCCATATGTCCCTCATCCCCTCCTTGTCCATTAAAAAAGGCAAAAACAATTTTAAAAAAATAAGTAAATAAAAATCAAATAAAAATGTATGGTGGAGAACGGGGTGGTGTACATTTAGGATACACCTTTTGGTGTACCCCTAGCATTGCTCAAAACTAGGAGTAAAAGATATACTCCTCTATCTAGAAAAAGTGAAATTTGTACTGAATAGAATTAAAATACGGAGTATAAATCATTTCTCAATGTAGGACTTAAATTTTTTTATTCTTTAAATAAGAATTAATAATGACTATTGAGAAGAACAATGTTCAAGTGATGCTGG